AAATAAAAATTGGTTTAATCAGCTATACAGTGGTTAAGTGGGTAGTATGCTTGCGTTCTACATGTGAAATCCCGGATTCGATCGTCAGTTGGGTCAACGGGTTCACACGCAATCAGGTCGGCACAGCCATGTAGTGCTCCCTATTTTTGCAGTTCACGCTTCTGGTGCGCTGGACACGATGAAATCCTCTAATTAATTACGTAGTTTATGCAATTTATCCTGGCTGAACATTTTATTTTAATTAAATATTACTTCTCCCTATTTGTTCTTTTTATGTGGCCTTTAGATACTATGTTTGAGAATTAATCAAAGAAGCCGCCTGCCACCTGTCAGATCAAGGATAGGACAATTAATCGTCTTATTTTTCGAATAGAACACTCGGATTTTAAGGTATTTGACTTACTTAGGAAAACTGGTTGCCATCAAAAAATGGTGACTGTCTTCCGTGGAGATAACAATCTGCTAATCCATAACTGTATCACCAATATGACAGTTTTCTGCCTGGTGAGGTAGGGGCGAGCTGTCCATCATTTTCCATTTTCGATAGACCCACGGCGAGCAACCGCTCACAGATAGTCATCTGGTGGAGCTTGCCAAATCACCAGGAGATACTAAAACAACATAAACGAATTACAGAAGCATCACACAACAATTACATGATTGTATTGCACCCTAGTTTTACACATTCCTTAATAGAATACCAACGTACTAAAGTTTGCTTGTTTTTCCTTCAACTGGCAATTTAAAATGGCTTTGGGCTTTCCTGCATTGAATATTTCTAATGGAACCGTTGGAGGAAAAAAACTAACTGTCTCTGCAAATTTGATCGGGTATTGTACAACACTCTTTACAAAGTTGAATACTCACCACTCTAGTCGGATTTGATCCGCGAAAAGTGGTCCCAGCGGAGACCCCACGGTCACGCCATCCTTTTGTCGATAGATCTCATCGTTAAACTTGAACTGAACGCACAGAAATAAAGCAGTTGTTTAAGGTCATCCAATGGGAGGCCGAGCTCTACTTAATTGGTTTGTACATAACTGCACAGGTGTTCAATCGTTTCGCTGATGGGAACATTGGTGAACAAAGAGCTGACATCCAGTGAGAGCAGTGCTCGATCGACCAAGTTCAAGCCACGAATTTTGTTCACAAAGTAAACACTGTGCTTTGCCAAACTAACTCGAACGGGTTCTAACAATTTGGCCAACTACTTCGCCAGGGCATGATATGGCGAGTTGCACACATCAAAAATCGGTCGTATTGGTACTCCATCTTTGTGTACCTTTGGCAATCCATACAACCTTGGAATAACAGTCCCAGTTGGCCTAATACGTTCGAAAAGGGATGCATCAATGACTCCTCTCTGCTTTAAGCATCGTAAAATCTCGGAAAGCGCCCCTTCTATTTGAGCCGTCTTATCCTTTTCCGTCCACTTGGTGAATTTCGACCGATCACCCAATACGGTATTCATCTTGTCTATGTAGTCCGTTCGATTTAGCAGTACGATCCCCGTCCCTTTATCCGGTCTGGATAGTATAACTTCTTTATTTTTCTGAAGTTCTCGTAATCGTCTTATGTGTTCTGTAGTTACTAATTCATTTCTATTTGATATTGTGATGCTGGTAGCAAGCATTCAATAAGGTGGATTTGAGCATTTCCAACTCTAACGATGAAGAAGGAACCAGGTCAGAAAGTAGCGCATATGTTTTCAAATTCCACCTCTATATACAATTGGTTTGATCTCCTATTCCGACAACAAAATTTTGGTCCCAGAGATAACACTTATAACAGCATTTTTTCTAAATTTATGCACGATAGATAGTGAAAATAGTGTTTGGGGTTGGCAGGGAACTCAACCACTGGCTGGGTAGGATTAAGCCACAGACGCAACCTGGTTTGGCTTCGTTCCATCTGTTTGGAAACAATAGACTGCGCGTAATCCTCAAAAGATTGCCTTTCAGTCGGGGAGAGAGAGCTGGATGTCTTAGTGTCACACTAGTAATGTTTACACGGTTTCTCAAAACTGTCCCATAATGTTTCGAGTACTCCGAGTTGGTAACACAATCATCAATAAACTGAATTCGAGCATCTGCTAGGGACGGTTTCGTGTGGAATTTAACATGTTTGTTAAGTCCACTACAATTAGTATTCAATCCGAACAAGTCTATCGCAAAAGCAACAGTTGCCTTGATTTATTGACGGAGTACTGTATTGGCAGCTTACGATTATGATACTATACATCGATCAGGCAAGACAAAGCCACTGGCAGATTTTCTATCAGGGTACCCACGCTTCGCCACTGAAGAGAAATTTAAGTTTATCGCCCAGCCGGCAGCGGTCTCGAGGGAGGCGTTGAGATGATATGCAAAACTATATTACTGTACCAAACAATCGTCCAATGGTTGTGTGACTCGTAGATACGAACCCCAAGTCCGCTTCAAGATAACCAGAATTCGGTATTCTACGTGTGCTATAAGCAGGCAAATACAACAATAACATTAATAGCATACCTCAAATTGCCGGTCAATCCGGTATAAGAACAAGATACAAAGCGGGACAAAGCACCAATCACAAGTGCTCGATAATGAAGCAATGAAAGGCACACAAACAGTTTACGGGATCCTATGGGACGAAGCAGTCCGCTAAGCAAATGAATCTAACGATCAAATATGAAGGTCAACATAAAGTGGACGGGATGACAATGACGTAGAACCAAACACAGGTGGGGGAAGAGATCCAGGGTAGTTCGTCTGTAATGACGCCCAAGATTGACAAGCCTGGAACAGCGAGATTTCAATGACGATAAGGGTAGATGACGCACGAATAAATTAGACGAGGAACTTAGAGGCGGTATCCGAACAACATGACTAAACTACTAAGTATGTCATCGAACCAAATCGGGGCATGATGATGGGTAAAGTACATTCGAAGGTCATCTGTGTAATGGGTCACATGGGTGCTTAGTTAATCGATCCGAACCGGAGCAAAACATGTGGCATGATTAATTTGTACAAGCAACTCAATACAACTACTCTGTAATTATTTTGGCCCTTTCGAAAGGACGGCCTCCAGATGTGCAGAGTAGATATCCTCAGTTTTATACCCATCGGGAGGAGTTGGCTGTGCAACCAGACGGTGTTCTACATCGCTGCAATCGATGGGTCATACCCCAGCTGCTCCGGGAAGCAGTTGTAAATAATCTCCACAAGAGACATTTAGGAGTGAAGAAGATGAAACCTCTGACTCAAGAAATGTGTTGGTTGTCTGATTTAGGTATAAACAGTTGCACAACTGCGAAGAATTGCGAGACAAAGTGAAGCTGGGATAGAAAAACTGGACTCTATGGCCAGAAAGTTATACACCATGGCGACAAGCATATGCGGACTTCTGCGACATATTCCTAAATCGCTACTATACCTTGGTTCCTTGATCCATACTTAAAAGGGCCAGAAGTACTTCTACCAACAACACACGTCGTGATTCAGGCTCTCCGGAAATGCATCAATCGGGAAGGTAAACCACAGGTGCTTGTCACGGACAGTGGTTCTCACTTCAGCGCTACGGAAATGAAAGCTCAGTTGAATAGCATTGGATGTCGACATTTACGTAATTTTTCCCAAGACAATCCTGTTCTAATAGCCAAACTGAGAAGCTAATGAAACCAGTCAAGAGTACATTGACATCTGCGAACCCGAAATCAATCAGTGTCTTGGAGGTGTTTCTGAACAACTTCCTACTACAATACCGAAACGTGACACATGTGAAGCCCAAAGAAAGTTCAGCAAATCTGTTTAAGTCACGGGGCTTGAAGTTTTCTCGGAAATGCATGCACTCTATGTGCCATACTCCAGGAGGTAAGATTCGCTCCCTATTCGGCGCAGCATCTCCAGAAACTTCGGTCAGTCAATAGTGGACGCATCTATCCATTAACGGTATATGAATTAGATACATTTAAAGCACAAACGAACTGTCGGTGCATCAGAACCCCATGAAGAAGTAGACAACCCGATCAATGGTGAATCGCCTGGATAGTAAGCGGCGGTTCCTCAATGTCATGATGTTGTACAAGAAAACGGTGTACAACCAACAGAATCGGAAGGCTCAGTCAATGCCACGCGAAGGGGATCACGGAGAAAAGCAAGTCAGATTGATAAGATAATCACGATGGAGGAAAGCTGTGGTGACTAATGCGCACGCACCACGGGACAGCTTCCAGGTAGCCAATCAAAAAACGGATTTCTTGACCAGTCATGAGGTCTCAAGTGGCATCAAGCGTACTGGCTCAAGGCAAGAGGGCAACTAAATGAGCCATATAGTTGTCTTGTGGACATTAAAAATCGATGGATGATTTTTTGCTGCTTGTGATATTTATTTGCGTGACTTTTAAACAGAATTTCCGGTAATCACGGCTCGTCTTGGTTCTACCTGACATGGCATATGCGGTGAATTTTCAGTTTGAACTCGAGTTCGCGCTATTCGATTCCGATCTGTATTCTGAATACCACCGATATGTACGATCTCTGTTTTCAGACCAGTGCACACACTGATAGTGCCTTTCGATCTTTTTCAAAGTATCACATTACTAGATATTCACAGATGATACTCAGGACCGGTGAGAGATCATCAGCATATCGAATAAGAACTGATTTCCACATATAGGTCAAACTAGCCTGTGGAACTCGGCTGAGTATTTTAAATTTGTTGTATAAATATATTTTACTACAATAATATTTTGGCATTCCAGATATTTTCAGCAATCTGTTTTCCATTTCTATAATACTCCGTGAAATACACATGGTTTTCTATTCAGAAAACTCATTCATTCTAACAATCACGTGCCCACAGCTTGGGTTTATTTACACGTGGTCACGTGACACCAGATCGAAGTGAAACAATCCAATTCGGGTGACTGGGCGAGACTGCCACAAAGGAATACCAATTTTTTAAACCGTCACGTAACATGTGAATCAGTTTCAGTTAAAGGACATGACAACGTAAAAATGAGTTTGATAAGTAAAACAACAACAGCTGAAACAGCTGAACAAACCCTGAAGACAATTACTTACGGAGGTCAACGCGTAACGTCGCAGACTACAGTCACACAAAATGATAATATTGAATCGTTGAACGATGAGAATACTCCAATACAAGCACAAGTTTTCAGTTTGGATCCCTCGATGCCAATCGGAAACAGTGGTGTCCGTCTGGTCTGGAAGGCTTATATTCAGACACCAGTTCGATTGACCGAAGCGGACGTCTGGCCTATCGATAAACCGGAGCAATTCGGAAGCATTGCAGTGGACAAACCAATCACGTTCACCATGAACAAAACAGTCCGTGATTATCGCCATATGCTTCCGCTATTGAATGAAATATCAGATCAACGAAGACGCCGTGATTCGTCTCACGCTTCCCGCCTCACAACCACTAGGCAGTACATTTGTGGTTTTCGGGGACGCAAGGCACCGAGATTCTTGAAAACGTTCCCGTCCAAACACCCACATTTCCCGCCATTACAACGATCAGTACAGTTTGAGGATTTTATGAAAAATTTCGCGGTAGGCAATTCCAGCGAGAGCAGCGAGACAATCACATATAATACAGAAAACACGTCGTTGTCAGTGGGGTCTACTTCGGAACAGTGGAAGAATTCAGATAAACAATCCGAGTCCAGTGATTCTGAGCGAAAAATCGAAAAAGAAACGAAAACATCCCTAGTCAAGCGCAGAGCAAAGCGCACTTCACTCTCCTCGATTGGATCGGGTGCAACACAGTCGAAAAGTAGTGTAAAGGTTCGCAAAAAGAGTTCCCGTGTACGAAACAATTTTCCTTTATTACCGTTCCAGTCCACGGTTCATCGGACAATGGCTGCTTTGCAATCTATGCGTGATCAACGAGACCAGTCCGAATTTACCGATATGGTCCAGGGTGCTATGATACATCTAAATGGCGGGGCATTCAGTGATGTGGATGATGTAATTCCAAATGCAGATTTTTCACAAATGAGACAAAGTCATACATCATCCCAGTTTGGCTATTCCACTGCTTTCCACAGACCAACGGTGATTGATATGGCTGATGCACTGACGGGGATGGAAATTTTGGACGCGAAAATACGGGATTACGATATGCAGGTCCCGATCAAATCGGACGATTTGGATAGACTCCGCAAATTGTACCAGGTCACTATTATGCGGGAACCTATTCTCAGAGAGCTACTGACCAGTTTTCGTTTAGACGCTCTGCCCAATTATTTGCGTCATTTGGTTCGCATGGGCTCACTGTACAGACAAGTTTCTCAATTCGAGCGAGGAATGGACGAAAGACCGTCGGGACGTAACCCATTTGAGATGAAACCGCTTTCGCACACCGATATAGCTCTAAATGACTGTGAAAACTTGTGGATTGAGGCTCGCATCCTAACTGCCGGACTGTTTGTGAAATGGATGCGTAGAATCAAACCGAATCCAATATATTTTCAACTCAGTTCCACTGAAGTGAAAGAGCAGTTGAAAATTTTCGGAAAAAGACTTCGTGATAATAATACGATTCCGACATCAACTGTTCGTGAAGATTTGCATTCGGCTATTGCAGCCTGTGCAGAGATTCCGGAGTTCATGCCCATTTTGTGGGAAAATGTTGATGAATGGTTTGATAATCTGATTGGCTGCTTGTCCAGCGCAGACCGAACGGTTCGGGAGCAAACGTGCTACGTCCTGGCCTATTTGTTCACCGACATTAAATTGGCCGAAGCAATACGAAATAATTCTGTAATTGATATCGGATACGATGTGACCACGGCCGTACTACACGCGATCGAAACAAACACAGCCAGTTTCATGCACTTCTATTGCCTGCTGGCCTTGATGGTTGAAGGTTGTCCAACATTCAGCATTCTGAACGCGATCATCGATGTGGGACCTCACTCGAACAGTACGCTGCTCAATTATATTTGGCCACGCCTGATATATTATGCTTTGAAATATTGGAATAGTAAACAATTTTTGCGCGATCGTGTCTTGTTAAAAACACTGAACGAATGCATTGAAAAGGCCTATGTGCGTGGCATATCACGAAAAAATGCCAAACTGGCACAAATTCAACTGAGTCGAAGATTTAAAATTCTCACAAAACCAACAACCGTTTGGTTGGACGAGTGGCGAAAAGTAGAGGAATAGGTAGGTGATTTTCTCAAATGAAATTTCTTTTCATCTAAATGAATTGATTCCTAATCCGCAATTATTAGGGTCATTTTGGTCACGCGCCTACAGTTCCACCAGGGTGAGGGTCTTGGGGGAACTAAAGAAAATTTACAAAACCATCAACGATGTTCGTGATATTGGAAATACCGGAGGAAGCTTTAACAGAGAGGTCATATGTTGAAAAATCAAGGAGGAAGATTTGGCACATTCCAAAAGCTTTATTAGTTTTTGCAGAAAAATAATAAAACTATTGTACTTCCACAGAACCTAAGATTCAAGTGCACAAAAGACAAGTTCAGTGAATGCATAAACTGCTGGACAGGGAAGGGAAATTCAGAACACGCTGTTTAAACCACATTGCGTGAACATGGTGGAGAAACTGGATAATCAGTACCGATGTTGGGCGGATAATTTCAGATTAGTAATCTCGGACATACATTGACGATAGTTCCTAACCACCTTAGATTATAGTGGTTGGAACACGTTCTCCATGTGCAATCGTAAAGGCTTTCTCGGGATGCAATTTTTACCGAGGAAAGTAGCATTCGGGAGAATACATGGGGTGGTCAAACCTTAACCTAACATGATGAGAGTATGACATTCCTGTTCAGGAGGCATGGTCTAGTTGATCACGTTGGCAGTCCCAGTTGGGAACCTCGTGGATAACCTAATCGAAGGTTAGAGACACCAGATGATTTTGCTATGATGTTTGTATATTTGCTTACTTTCCATACACACATCTGTAGTTTATCCGCACTCTCTTGAGACTGCGCTCACCTTTGGACTTCTCTCTCTCTGTCCAACATGGTTATTCAAACAAATGGTCTATAAGCGTTGATGATGAAGTCATAACCGGTAAAAGTCATCAGGTTACCGAAGACAAGTATCTTTCGTAGTGTATGGAGCATGCGTAAATTGCACTTGTCAACCTAGCAAGTATAATTTCTCTCTTCGGCGCCTACTTCGTATCTGCGATGTGCCATAATTATGCTTTTGTTTATCAGGTACTCCGTTTTGAAACATGGTGACCCGTGCTTGACTATCATTAAACACATTCATTGACCGAATATTTTTGCCGAATGGTATCGTGTATGCGGCTGTGGCTACCACCGTAGCCATTTACTGAATTGAAACAAAGTTGACAACGATGAGATGTTTCTACTAAAGTTAAAGAGTCACTTATTTCGTGGTACGCATACGGTGTTTTCGGTTTGCGATTGTGAGATCTTGGATTCGCGTGTAGAAAAAGGTCATTGATTGAGGCTTTCCATCCTCCCGGTGGAGCTCAGCAAGCGATGCTAAGAATGCATGGGATACTAGCTGGAATAAGTGTATCCCGCCTTCCAGGTAGAGTTTGTTTCCCAATTCAACCGGGTGATTGAATAACGGTGCAAACCGATAGCAACGGTGTGTATATTCTTAGGTCTGATCAGTCAGGGATGATAAATCGGGTGTGTTGGTATAGTTAGTCTGTGTGCTCTAAACACTAGCCTTACTGGTTCATTGGCTCTTTCACCCAGTACACCCTATCCGCCGTACACACTTGTACAAACAGGGGACACATTGTGAGCTGTGCAGTAACCATTCAAATTTTTCTCAATACCTTTTGCTAAATGACGATAATATCCTTTTAATGGAAACACACTATGTTCGGTGAGAGAATCGAATCGATAAAAAGGATCCTCTGTTTTTATCTAAACTTGCGGATTTTGTTTGCGCCTTTGTGAAGCTTGGTAGTACGAGCGCAGATACAGAGCTGCTTAAGTGTGAATTCAATGGCTGCCCTAACTGCTGGAAGGAGGCTTTCTCCATTTTTATTTCGGCCGATCATCTTTCATGCTTTATCTTCTTACACAGTCTTCAGCTCATCCAGTCAAGCTGATACTCGAGAAACACTAAACCGGGGTTTCGCTTCCTTTAGATCTCATCAGCGAATATTTACTGTCCCGTTTGGGCTCTGAAAGGTTGAAAAGTCAGAAAGAGCTGGTTTTCCAATGTCAGCGCCACTAGTCGAGGTTTCTTGGAAGTCCTTATCTGGCATTTCTGTCTGCCCATTGCTGAGCATAAATACCAAGTCTATTTTCAAAGATGACAACTAATCATATTATGATATATTCCATTTCATATGTGTCTGAGTCTAGATACGTACAAACCAAAAAACGGTAGAACAATCTTTATGATAAAGAATTCAGTCTATGATTTACTCTTGGGTAGGAAACTGCTGGGTTGGCTAGGCCAAGGCAGTCGAATTTTCTTGAGGGTTTACAACGGGAAACTTCAGCTCGCCAGCGCCAACGCAAGGAGGAATCTTCGTGTGAAAATAGCAATCCATTGTGGGTCTTCGTCTAATTCATCCTATCACACACCCTTGGGACAAGGAAAAACATTTAAGGTGCCCAATACACCTCGATGTCCAATCAAGAGGATGACTGTACAACTGTTGTGAGGTAATAAACGCATCCGTGAGTATTATGTTTAGATTGCGCAAACAAATGTGAATGGTGATTTCTGAAAACGGTCAAAAATGAAGAAGACCTCCCAGAGCGAATTACTGTATTCAAAATCGTAAATACAGAAAATGCGCGTCTACCACCGGACCGTTCCATTGATTATCTTGCGTGATTATGATATTTATGATAACCTGTTCGAAATGAAACGTACTGTTGTATGTAAACCACTTTATCGATACCTTTGCCCCCCCTGTTCGCGGGAAACCACTCTCCTCTTCCAGACACCGAATGGTTGATGTTTAGCAACATACCCCGGAATGCTTGGGTGTGGCTTTTATGCCTCCTGTTGGTGAGTTTAGATCGTGGTTTTTAGTACACTCTCCTGGAGAAACTGCTTGTGGTCCTGTGTCTTATCACATGCGGGTTTTCATGTGCTTAGCGGGGTAATGAAGCCACTCTGGAAGAGTAGAGGATTTTTTGCTGACATTGTAAGAGCAATATCCCTTTATGGTAGGCGTGCATACACAAAAGCAATATGCGTCGTATCAGTCTGATACTCAGGTTTTGCATCTTTCTCCGTGCACTTCTAACATTCTGCTGTTCGGGACTAAGAACATGTCCTTGAACAGAGGCAACGTCAACAATTTTTTAACATTGCGCTATGTGAACTAGCAAATATAACCCCAAAAATTGTAGGAGTCTGATAGGAATCTTCGCGACAAAGTGATGATCACCCTGAAAACTTTCCACTCAAACCTAAACTTTATTCCGTGCCAATATAACATCCGTGTAAATGTGGGCGAAACGAAACACTAGGTTTGTCGAAATATTAGAAAGAAAATTGATAGAATCTGTTATCGGCTTTTTATCATTACCTCTTTGTTTTGTGATATGCATGATACAAATCAAGTATTTTGATCATAAGACTTATTGTTGAGAGTTCAACATCAGAACAGTGGAATTATCCATGACCCACAGAGTGACCAAATATTCATTTTGGCCTCTTCTGGAAGTAATTGACTGCATTTCTGAACAACTGCTTTCTTTGAGCTGTGCAATCTGTACAAATGTCGATAAAATCANGACTCTGACACACACTCAGAGCAAAAACGATGGATCTCGTCCAACTCGGTTACCCCGCTGGACGCCCGCAGAACCCGTCTTCCTGATGCCACAAATCACAACGCGCAAATCCCTCAACCGCCAGCTCGTCAAGAATCTGAGAATAGAACGCGAGAATTGGTGGGTAGGAAAGTGTAGAGAGACAGAGAAAGCGGCGTGTATTGGTAATAGCAGCACTCTTCCCCGTCTAATTAGGAATACGGGCCCCAGGAAAATAGGCGCAAGTGAGGAAGTTCAGGAATCCGCAGGCACACTGCTTCGTCACCAGCAAAGCTGTTAAAGTTCCGTTTAGCTGTCATCTGTGGCGCTGCCACGACATCCGACTGTCCGTGATTGTAGGCTACGGAAATTCGACCAGTTCTGCCATACAGCGCAGAAAATTGACCATTGAGAAAATAGGATCACGATAGACTATCGGTGTTTGAACATCACTGTCTACGCAGCATTGCATGAATCTGGTAACCCAACCGGTCGAGCAATGCTAGGGTTAGATACAGAGTTTTAGGTAACTGCGGTCGCACACTGGACCAAGTGGTTGACCTCCATACCTTTTTTTGATCTTTTTATTTTACTGCCTTTTATTGAACATGCAATGGTACAATTTTCAGGAACTGGTTGACCTCCATAGATTAGGTTGTTGGGGCATGTGTTACGCATGTCATCGAATAGGTTACCACAGCGCGCGATTTATACATACATATATATATATATATATATCGCAGTTGTGACCCGTAGCTCCGGAACCTTAGTCCAGAGTTCATGCTGATTTCATCCATCTGATGGAAGCTCGTCATGGAAAATGACTTGTTGCAACCACGATGCCACGAAATTCTGTGAGTGTTAATATTTCGGCGCTTTGACATGGACTTTACCGCTTCCGTCTTTGCCATAAGTTGGTTTCTGATAATAGCAATCAGTTTGCACCCTCACAGTTCGTTAATCTTTACCATCGGAACGCCATCGTCTACACAAGGCCTCCACTTTGTGATTCTCAATCAAATGGCCAAGGTGAACATTTTGTGCATATATTCCAACAAGCAGTTCAAAAGATGAAGAGATAAGGCAACGTGTCAGAGAGTGCAGATGCTTCTCCTCTAAAATACTGCACCATAATGGATACCCAAACATCGGGCACAGTCGCCTCAGTTGATTTCCTGTTTCATAGCAAAATTCTGATGCCACGAAATGCCATCAAACCTCAAAAGGATCGCGCACCATAATCAAACACTTAAAATAACAGTTCATCAGAGGACATGGTTTTCGTTGATAAGTGTTACATGTTGGCCCAAACGTTCTGCTGAGAGACCACCGAATTAATCATCCGAATTGGACATGGAGTTGCCTAGGAAGGCGATATGGAAACGTGAAGTAAACGACAACCATGTTAGAGCAGAAAGCTGGGTG